CCCCACCTCCCGGTCCTCATGCCACTGCTTCAGAATTCATCACAACACTGTCGATAGTACAAACAGCTGTTAAGAGTTGGTGAAACACAGCCCTTGCTGATGTGAGCAAGATGGAAAATTCCGGCACAGCCCAAAATGTGTTGCTGATGCAAAATTCTGAGAGTGATGATCCTGCAGACTTTTAAAAGGAAAAAGTGTGTAGGTAAATACCTTCCTCAACCCACTCCCTCACAGATCACCTGATCTCTAGTCATAGAATGTCTCAAAGCCTAAAAAGAAGAGGATATATGAAGCTGCCACATGCCAAATTATACTTTAACCTGCTCTGGCAAGCAGCAGTCTTTCTGAGTGGCAGCAAAGAGGGGCTTTTTCTATTGTCTGCTGTTTGTTTTTTCTTTTTCAGTGGGAGAAGCTAGAGATAGAATTTGTGGCCTTGTCCATCCTCTACTGTTGAAACAGTACATTTCTCTGCATTCTCCTGATCTTAAAATGGGGGCTGGGAACTCATTCCTTTTCCGTGTGGGCCACCATTAGAGTCGTTACTGGGTGAATTTACACAGCCAAGGACTGAACTGGCCCCAGAAATCTATTTTCAGGGCAATGCACAAGGCAAAAAGTCTGCCCCAAGGAAGAGAATTACTCACATGGACCACTAGATGTCCCCCAACACAAACACACATAATAACATACAGTACTGAATTTTTAATTTTAACAGTCTATGGGAGGCTTAATTTCTTCTGCAGAATCCCCACTATGGTGACAAACTGGAATACATCAAGTGAAGATCTAGCTGACTTCAAGTTCATGCAAGCACGTTTAGAGGTGGCAGGAAATTTTAAAAGCTTGATTCTACAGACATTTACACTCTGCCTGTCCACCTATGAACTGAAGCAGGCATACTTTGCTTCTCTTCCTTCCTTCATGTTCACAGCAAACACCCTATGGAGTAGTTCAGGCAAGCCAGTGAATTTTGTGGCTTGGCAGGGAAATGAACCTGGATCCCTCAGGTCCCAGCCCAACACTCTCATCACTACACCACGCTGGCTCTTCTATTTGTTGCTGTCGCTTTTATTATTATTATTTATAACCCATATTTCCTTCAATGAGCTTAAATTGGTATATTGTATATGGTACTCCTTCCTGTATTATCCTCACAAGAACCTTGTGAGGTAGGTCATCTGAGACAGCAGTGGCCAAGTGGGGATTTAAACCAAAGTCCCCTGATTCCTGGCTCAACACTCTTGCCACTACACCACACTAATTCAATAAAATAAATAAATGTATAAATAAATCCTTTCTGTAGAGCCCAGAGAGAATCCAGTTAACTCATGGTATCGTCCTATATATTTAGAGGGTGGTTTGAGGCAGGAGATGAATATCAGAATAACATTTTCACTGTTTTTTATGTTGTGTCTATTAACTAACAAACACAGTAGTGCTGAGGCTCTTTTTGTATGGAATATGGACCTGAGTAAATGGGAAAGTTAAATAATCAAACTGGGATTTTAAAAAAAAACTTTGATCATAGAACAAGGGGAGGAATTTAAAAAACTAAATCATAAGGCTTGGAGGGTTTCTAATTTCTTCTTCAAATTTTGTTGGGTAATTTTTTTCCCTTCAGCATACGGGGCTTCAGGAAATACGTATATATGATGACAGCGCTCACAATGACCTTGAGTTTCATTCTCATTTTGTGTCTTCCCCTCATGCCATCATTCTCAGAATTAACAATCAGACTTCTCTCTTGCCTGTCCTCTGAGGAGTCCAGAACATCTAACCCTTAACTAGCTTGTTGTGAGGAGAGGATGGAGAGCATAAACCTATTGGAAGATCAGAGCTTAGATGTAACACATTATAAGTACTCATAATGTCTGACTTTGGGGGGCAACTGCATGCTCATGTTGTTATTTTTCAAAAGCAATTATCATGAATAGTAATATTATTATGCTTGGGTACAATGAGTAATGTTTGCTTATTACTCAGAGACATTACTGTTGTGGATTTTTCACCCACTATAGCCCACTGCCCAAAGTTGCATATTATGGATTTATGTGTGGTTTCACACAATTACATAGGTAGAGTAATTTTTCTGTTTTTGAAGTCAAGTTAAAAGATAATTAAAATGCAACAAAAATGTAAAATTAGTAATGTATCACATATGCGTTACTCTTTAAAAATGAGTAATGTGTTATGCTGGAAAGAATAACAGCTGACAAATAATGTTTGACTTCTTGAAAACAGTGTTCCAGTATTCTGGAGGAGTAGAATAAGGTCACCGAGTGACTTTCGTAGCTGAACAGGGATTTGAATCTGGTACTGTTTCCACGTAGTACAGCTGAAGGATTGCTATTCTGCAACAACAATACCCCGATACCTCCCACCCCCACACAAAACAAATCAAGAAGCACATCTCCTGTGCAAGCTTTATGCCATAAAGGATATTTTTATTTACAGACTTTACAGCATCAGTAGGAAGGGTTAACAGCCATTTTGTGCTTGCACGTGTGGAAATCTTGCCCAACCCCACAATCACAACTCTGGTTCTACACAGCATGTAATAAAACATTTGGTTCCCCATTCACAACCGCATAATGCTTCACCTCTGGAGGCCCATTTGTTTACTCTGAGACAAGCTACATTTGGTTGAATGAGAGTCCTCTGAAAATCATGTTTAGGACTGCTGCTTTAGCCAGCAAAATGCTTCCTGGCTTATTGCAGTTTAAAGCTGCTGCGAGCAGGGTAGCGTTTTAGCTCCCAACGTGATTCAGATTAGCCCTTTCATGGACTGGTTTCCTTCCACTCATCAGCCTTTGGTTCTTTAACTTGGCACCAACATTGGCATCTTATCGACACCGAGATATTTATTAGAACCTCTGGGAGTTGAGAATCTTGGCCTGTGCAGGTTTTAAATCGATGCTTTTAATGTTTTACTTTTATGTGTTTCGATTTTAAATTGCTTTAAAGATGTTATGCTTTCAAATTGTCTTACGTGGCTCTGTTAACCATCCTCAGATCTTGTGATATAGGGTAGGCTATAAACGTTTTAGATAAAATAAATAAATAAGCTTCTTGCGGTTCTCACTACCTCTGTGTTTTTATTTAATGGTCTGCACACTGGCCAAACTTGAAATCAAAACAATTTTTAAAAAACTAAAGGACAGTCCCTTATTCTATTGCCTATACAGCTATTCAGCCTTGTGTGTGAGTGTATTCTAACAGTTTCTTTGGGATCAGAAGTGGTGGGGGATGGACAGGTGGCATGGAAAGGACTGAGACTGCATACCTGGAAGCCCCTCAAAAAGTTGTTTCTGAATGTAACTGTAACAGCTGGGGTTGTGATGTGCCACCTAGTCGGAACCAGCTTACAGCAACCCTAATAGGACTTTCAAGGTAAGTGAGATACTTAAGGAGAAGTTTTATCAGTTCTACTTCTCCAGTGAGTTTCCATGGCTAAGCAAGTTTTCAAACCCAGTTCTTCTTAATCCATCACTCTTTCCACTATACCACACCGGGGGTGGGGGGAGAGGGACAGATGTCCTGTTTCCCTGTAACTTATTTTGGCATCTCATTATCTGGAATGAGTAATTAAGACCCAACCACTTCAAAAAACAGCTGCTCCGGGTAGAGGTAAGGTAAAGGTAAAGGTTCCCCTTGACAATTTTTGTCCAGTCATGTTCGACTCTAGGGGGTGGTGCTCATCCCCGTTTCCAAGCCATAGAGCCAGAGTTTAGTCTGAAGACAATCTTCCGTGGTCACATGGCCAGTGCGACTTAGACATGGAACGCTGTTACCTTCCCACCATGGTGGTCCCTATTTATCTACTTGCATTTACAGTACATGCTTTCGAACCGCTAGGTTGGTGGGAGCTGGGACAAGCGACAGGGGCTCACTCCGTTGCGTGGATTCGATCTTACGACTGCTGGTCTTCTGACACCGCAGCACAGGCTTCTGTGGTTTAGCCCACAGCGCCACCACGTCCCTGGTAGAGGTGCAAACTGCTAAAAGTGGTTTGCTGATATGAAGTAACACAACATCCTACTTTTTAAAAAAAACCTCCTTAAAAGTGTAGTTATGGGGACTGTCATGATGTAAGAATTTATCACTATGCTGTTGTCTCCAAAATACCTGTGTAAGTTGTATATTCCGTATCCATGCACTTATTGTGGTGGTGAGGGAAAGGGTCAACACAAACGTGCCAGATTACAGGCAGGCTCCCAGATGCCCTGCAAAACTGTTTGAACCAAAGAAAGCAATTTTTTGGGGGAGGGGGGAAGCTAATATGGAAACAATCCAGGAGTCTATGGTTCCAGCTGAACACTAGAATCCTAAGCAAAACTACAGTAGCTAAGAAGATTTGCGTAAGCAACTATTCATCGTCACTCAGTGATGTGACTTTGAGATGCTGTTGTGCTGAGTGGAAGAGTAATAAGCAAATGTCCCTGCTTTCAACTACCACAAATGGGGGAAATGAGAGAACATGAAAAAGGATAGCAACAAAAGGGTGAAAAACAGCATACACAAACTTAGAGGACCCGCACATGCACACACACACAGACACACACAAATGTGTGCTCTCTCTCTCTCTACACACACACACACACACACACACAAAAGCAGGGGTTTTAAAACGTTCAGATCAATATATATATATGCTCTATTGATCTGAACGTTTCAAATCCCCTGCTTTTTTGTTCTCTAAGTCTCTGTTTGGGTTTATGCTGTTTTTCACTCTTTTGTCACTACCCTTTTTCATGTTCTCTCTCTCTCTCTCTCTCTCTCTCTCTCACTCACTCACACACACACACACACACACAATTCTTGAATGAAAGCTAGAGAATTAAAAAGGTGTGGGAAATGAAAAAAATAAAAAGGAAAAAAGATTGAAAATTTCACATTAAAAGCATAGTGTTCATGTATGCAAATAATAAACGAAAAGAAAGAAGGTCATCAAAATAATACAAGGAAAAGAATTTAAAGTTTATAATGTGTAGGCAGAAAATTTGATAAAGTCAGAACTTGGAAAAAAAATTTTTGGTCTACAGCTCTGACTCCTCCATGCTAACTGGGAAGTCCAATCAACTTCTCCAAACTCTAGATAAAGTGAAACCAATTTGTTGAATGTTCTGAGTGGTTTGCTTTGTGTTTCCATTTGTTGTCTCTCTTCCTGCTTTGTAAAACTCAGCCTTCGCTTCCTGAGGGCTTATCTGAAGCCCAGCAATCTGGCTCCTTGCCTCATTTTATGGGCTTGCCAACGGAGCAGCCGGATGGCCTTCAAGCTGACGTGCAAAAGGGTGTCATATCGGAAGACCAGCTTGTAGAAAGAGTCGGTCATCAGGGCCCCAGTAGGGTCGGCATGCTTGAGAGCAGTCATGGGTGTGTAGATGGCATTGGTCTGGTGACGAAAGGGCGGCTTTTGCGTGGTGATGACCTTCAGGGTGTGCTGTTGAAGGAATTGGAAGACAATCTTATGACTGTCAGTAAACCATAAATCTGCCTTCTTTAATTTAAGCTAGCCTTCCCCAAATGCTGATTCGAGACATATTGGACTGGAACAATTATCATTCCTAATGGCGACAATGGGGCTTGCAGTCCAGACATATAGGTGCTCCTATTACTGGGGAGTAAATCCTCAGAACTAAGCCTTTCAACCTTTCTTGGCAGAAGTCAAAATTATGAGAAAGTATTGGATATTTATATCAAGGGGAAGGGGTGTGGCCATCTTTGGAAATCCCAAAGAGTCATATCTCAGGAACATCAGATTCAGCCTGAAGGCCAAAGGTTTGCACTCCATAAGGGAGGGAGGGAGGGAGGGAGAGAGAGAGAGGAGAGAAAGAGAGAAAGAAAGAAAGAAAGGAATTGAATTGAATAACCCTCAGCCCATAAGTTGGAACCCTTCATCCCTATTTTATGGTCTCTATAGTCCCACACAAATGCTTAAAACATGCTCTAGGAAATATAATTCTTTAAACCAAGGTGCACAACACCCTACATATTTTATTTTATGTAAAAGTTTTGGAAAATAAATTTGTTTTAACTTCAAGCCACTTCGAGTTTCAGGGTTGGCCTCTCTGGATTGGTGGTGTGGAAAATTGGTAGGGAAAAATATTCCAAAAATTGCCCACCTAAAATAAATGAATTATATGTCAAAGGCTTTTGGTCTCACTAATAAAACCCTGGCTCATATCTCCAATCCCACCTATGCCTTTCCCCCCAGAATTTTATTTTATAGGAGTCAGTAGTGTGTCTGCCTCTCTAAGGATTCATTACATTCCCAGGGCTAAGTAAATCCTATCCCAAACTATATTACCCTTGTCTAGGGGAGTATTTTCTGTTCTCCCTTAACTTCTAAATTAGGCATAAATACATATCTAGATAAACACATCCAACAACACAAGAAGTGACTCCACACATGGACATCACCAGATGGGCAATACCGAAATCAGATTGATTATATTCTCTGCAGCCAAAGATGGAGAAGCTCTATACAGTCAGCAAAAACAAGACCTGGAGCTGATTGTGGCTCTGATCATCAGCTTCTCATAGCAAAACTCAAGCTTAAACTGAAGAAAGTAGGAAAACCCACTGGGCTAGTCAGATATAATCTAAACCAAATCCCTTATGAATACACAGTGGAAGTGAAGAACAGATTTAAGGAACTAGATTTGGTGGACAGAGTGCCTGAAGAACTATGGATGGAGGCTTTTAACAATGTACAGGAGGCAGCAACAAAAACCATCCCAAAGAAAAGGAAATGCAAGAAAGCAAAGTGACTGTCCAACGAGGCCTTACAAATAGCAGAGAAGAGAAGGGAAACAAAATGCAAAGGAGATAGGGAAAGTTACAGAATATTGAATGCAGACTTCCAAAGAATAGCAAGAAAAGACAAGAGGGTCTTATTAAATGAACAGTGCAAAGTTATAGAGGAAAATAATAGAAAAGGAAAAACCAGAGATCTGTTCAAGAAAATTGGAGATCTTAAAGGATCATTTTGTGCAAAGATGGACATGATAAAAGAGAAAAAGGTTGGGACATAACAGAAGCAGAAGACATCAAGAAGAGGGGGCAAGAATACACAGAGGAATTATACCAGAAAGATCTGGGTGTCCCGGACAACCCAGATAGCGTGGTTGCTGACCTTGAGACAAACATCCTGGAGAGTGAAGTCAAGGGGGGCTTAGAAAGCATGGCTAATAACAAGGCCATTGAAGGTGATGGCATTCCAGTGGAACTATTTTAAAATCTTTAAAAGATGATGCTGTTAAGGTACTACACTCAATATGCCAGCAAGTTTGGAAAACTCAGCAGTGGCCAGAGGATTGGAAAAGATCAGTCTACATCCCAGTCCCAAAGAAGGGCAGTGCCAAAGAATGGTCCAACTACTGTACAATTGCATTCATTTCACACGCTAGCAAAGTTATGCTCAAAATCCTACAAGGTAGGCTTCAGCAGTATGTGGACCTAAAACTCCCAGAAGTACAAGCTGGATTTTGAAGGGGCAGAGGAACCAGAGACCAAATTGCTAACATGCGCTGGATTATGGAGAAAGCCA